GATGACAACGGCGACGGCGCGGCCAGCGACGGCGCCGACGTTGATCGCGCCGACGAAGACGACGGCGCCATCGCGTCGGCGATGAAGGTTCTGAAAGGATCTCGACATGCACGCGCGGCCGACCCGCGCGAGTGGCCCGCGAGGCGCAATTCGACGCGGATCGCGCCCCCCCCGCCTCCCACCCCCCACCCCCAGCAGCGCGCGCGCAGGGGCGTTCGAACGATGTCGACATGCGACGCGAGACGCCTGCTTGGCAGAATTGAGCGGGAAGAAATGTAAGCAATTCATGATTTTCGCGTGAATTCGCAAGGGCACGGCCACAGTCATTTCGCGTGGAAGCAGAAGTTGCAAAACCATTTGGTTTCATGTGTTCCAGGGGAACTCGGCTTTGGAATCTTTATGGCACCTAAAGTCTCGAGAAGATTGCGGCGCGCGCGCGCGGCGACGCGCGCGCGTGCAATTCGCAATGCTCGTTGCCGAGGGTTCTTTCGAGAGCGCGTGCGCACGGGTAGTCGAACGTCGTTTTCGGGAAGCCAAGTGTTTTGACATGTTGTCGGGGCATTCGTTTTTTTGCACCCTTACGAAACCCCAGGTTTCCGACTGATTTTGGCGTGCGCGCGCGACGACGCGCGCGTGCATTTCCTTCTATTTCTGTTGCAAGGGGTTCTTGAACGTTGAAGGTTTTGATCAACGGGTGCGTGGACATATTTGTCTTGCGGAGGATGCGGGGGGGCCGTTCCAGGTTCGGCTGGGATGCTGCGAAATCTCATTCCGGGCGTGCGATGGGGCAGAGCCACATGCAAATTGCAGCACGAAAGATGGCCGTTTAGTCCGGGGGGGAGATCCTCGTGATCTCTGAGAAAGGAGAACCGATGTGGTGCAATCTGCGCGGCGCAATATATGATGTGCATTCGTTGTGGTGCAACATATGTTGCGCCCGTGTCCAGTTGCAATGCGCGTGTTCCGAATTATGGTGCGCAGAACATGTTGTGCGATAGTTGGGGGACAACCGACGTGCAACACATGTGGTGCAATACATGTGGTGCAATCCATGATGTGCGACCTATGGTGTGCAATCGTGGTGGCACGTTTTGCGCGGCGCGCCCCATGGCATCCCGCCCACCCGCCCGCATATTGGTTTGCTAAGCCCACGCAGCGGCGATTGCGACGGGTGTTTGGCGGTGGATGGTGCATCTTTGCGGCCGCGCTAGCCCGCGCATGTTCGCGCGCGCCGCGGCCAGCTAGTTTGGCGCGTCGGACGCGGCCGCGGTGGCGCTGACCGCTGGGCGCATCCCAGCGGGCACTGCAGTGCACGTCGGTGGCGCGGGCGGGCGCGGCATCATGGCGACGCCGACAACGGTAAACACGATTATGAGAGTAGCGATGCTTGTGACGACGGTGACGATGACGACGGCCAAGCCAATGGCGGCGTCGACGTTGATCTCGCCCGCCGATGCGTCGGCGATGCAGGTTTTGAAGGAGTTCGACATGCGCCCGCGGCCGACACGCGAATGGCCCGCGCGGTATCATTCGACACGGGTCGTGCCCCCAAAGCACGCGCGCAAAGAGCGTTCGAATGAGTTCGACGTGCGGCGCAAGAGGTCTTTTTGGCAGAATGTGATGCCTATGTTGAGAAACCAATGTGTTTTTCCAGAGCCCGCAAAAACGCGCTCGCAGTTGTTGTGTTGAAAACTGATGTTGCAAGACTATAATGGTTTGATTTGTTCTCGGGGCTCTCGTTTAAGAAGTCCTTGCGGCACTTGTGGTTTTTTGTTGAAAATGTTCGTCATGCGCGCGCAACGACGCGCACGCGCGCACGTCGTCCCATGTGTTGCAATGGGTTCTTGCGACCGCACGCGCGCAAAGGGGGTTCGAGCGATTTCGACACGCGCGCGCGAGAAGCCCGTTTGGTATCATCTGTATGGAAGTGTTGAACAGCATATGGTTTTCATCTGAATTCGCAAGAGCGCGGGCGCAGGTTTTTGCATTGACCTCGTGGACGATGCGTTCGCGCCAGCGGGCACGCGCCCGCGTCTACGCCGCCAATGAGCGACGCGACCCTCAGGGGCCGGCCGCGGCCACCCATCGACCTGGCAACTACATCGCCCGCAGTCCGAAACGTCCTGACTGTGAGGTGCGCGCGCGCACCCTGGCGCAGAACGCGCAGGCCCGACCCGCCGACGCAGCCCACTGAACGACACCGAGTCCGATGCGAATTTCGACGACAACGCGCGACGGCTTATTTACGGGATGCCATCTTCATTCCGGCGGGCGCTGGTCCGGCGACTACCTTGTTCTCGACGCGGCCACATGCTCCAAGCGCCTCGATTGCGGGCATGGCATTGCCACGTGCGCCGAGTAAAGAACATCGCGGTCCCAGACGGCAGATGCGCGTTCCCTGTCAAAGAGGGCATTCTCCGACATCACAATCCTGAGGACAATGAGTCGATTTCATTTCAGACATCTCGACCGCTTGGAGAGTCTACAAAAGCAGACCCAGTGCTAGTCTACCCAGCAGCATGGGGCGACCCCAGTATAGCCAAGCTCCCCGAACCAGTCCTTCCCGAAGCTTCCGACCCCGGAGCACCGCTTCCCGAGTCGCACCTTCCCGAAGCAACAGAGCTGGCGGCTCCAGCTCGGGATCAGACTACTGGGAGCTCCGCGGCGAGGCCATCCTGCGGCGCAGACGCAAACCGCGCACTCAGCTCTTCCGCCCCGCCGACACTGATTGGCGCCCCCGCCCTGGTTGACAAGATCGACGTCGCCCGCGACTTCGAGACCGCATTCACGTGCGAGGGCGAGCAGTATTTCCGCGACGTTTGGGGCGGCGTGAGCGAGAACGATCGCCGCCATCTCAGTGAGTCTGGGGCTGGAGTTATACGCGTCTACAAGCGGCCCGAGATCACTCCGGAGGGCAAGATGGATGCGCGGGATCACCAGGCCCGCGTCCAGGCGACGTCTCGACCCGACCACGCACTGCCCGACTTCTGGAGTACACTGCCAACGAAAGAACGACAGATCGAGCAATACTTCGCTGGAGACATCCTCCGGGCACGGGGGGCTCGAGATCGATCTGCTCATCGTGCCTGGACTCGGACAGACAAACGAGCTCAGCGATTCCGCGCAACCAGCGGCGACGGCCTTGCGTGGGACACCGCGGAGCGACGCGTCACCCGCGACCTCAGCAACAACGCCGTCAGCCGAGATGAAAGCGTTAGGGGCGTGACCGACAACGACGCACTACGCGCCGCCCGTCCCCGACGGATCACGCGACATCGCCACCGTCCTTGAGCGCCGTCCACGGCCGGAGGCAGCTCCCGCGAGAGCTGCCCGCTCAATTGCGCCGATGGACAAGGGCGGTTCGGACTTCGGCAGCACGAACAAGCTATGCCGTGGTTTCGCGCCGTCGGTGGAGATGCCCACGATGCCGCGCACACAGTGCCACCGCCAGGAGCACAGGAACAAACTTGACATGACTCACTGGCAACGCCCATGCCCTGTCACACGCGACCCCACCAAGAAAGAAGTTGCAGTCAAGTCACGCGCACAATACGCTCTTCGCAAAGAATGCGAACGTCTGGAGAAGAAAGCAGACTTGGATGGCCGAGACGGTCCTGGAACGCGCAGATGTGGAGGCCAACGCACGCAAGACCGGCAAGAATGTTCATTTCGCCAACATACTGGACCTCTCAACCGTCAAGCATGCAGAATTACCTCCAGAACTTCAGAAGTTCAAGGACCCCCAGCGTCAACGCCCCGACCTTTTCCGAGCCTCCCGCCCCACGAAGCGGAGCGCCACGCCATCCGCTCGCAGGGCATATCGTGTCGCTGGGGCCGCCAGGGCGACGCGCTATCCAAAAAGCCCCCGACCCTGCGCGCCGTGCGCGGTGATTGCTGCTCCCGCTGGCCCTGGAGACAGACGGCCGCCACGGCCCGGCAGCGCTGAAGCACTTTTGCTGGTTCGCCTGGGACCTGGCGCAGGGCTTCGGAGACCGCCCAGCAACCGCAGCGGCTGCGAACGCGTGGCTGACAACGCGCTGGGCCGCCGAACTTGGCGTGACGCTTCACCGCGTGGCTGGGCCGGTCGGCAGCTCCTTCGGTAGCAAATCAATAAAGCATTGTCGGTGTTCGAAACTCCGTCTTGATAGATCAGCAGCGTGCTCTAGCGTCTGGTGGTGAACTGGTGAGGGCGTGAAGATTCCGTTCGCCACCTTCTGCTTCTGCTCCACATCGTTGCATCGTTGCCCCCGATTGTGGGTTGGCGCTTTGTCGTGCTTCACGGTTGCAAGAAGCTGAGTACCCGATTGCCCACCCCCATCCTCGGCCTCCCCATCCTCGTCCTCCTCATCCGTGCTTCTCCCCATCCTCTCGCTCTCTTTCTTCGCTGCTCTGATCATCCTCATTGTCGTTTTCGCTCATCATTATTTCCTCCTGTCCTCTTCGCCCTCTTCATTGTTTATCCTCGTTCCTTCCCTCCTGCATGTTTCTTTTCCTCTTTTCTTTTTGCCCTTTTCCCCACGGCTACATCGCCCCCCCTCTCTCCCCCATACCCTGCCCCCCCCCCTCCCATCTCCCCTTTCTCCCTATCCCCTGTTCCATGGTCGTTGGGGAACACGAGGGGGGGGGAGAGAGACAACGCTGGAGGATCAAGCGTGGTAGTAAAACTGTGTGTTTGCATCAGTGCCTCCGTCGAATCCAACAGTTTCCTATGTATTATTCGTGCGCGGTCCTTGCATGGAATATACGTTAACAGTTAATTCCAACATCATTGCAGATGGAGCTTGAGCGCGCGCCAAACGCGCGCGATGGTTTTAGTTGAAATCGCTAGCAATCTGGGCCCCTCAACGTTACGCGACACTATGTTCGGGAAATTCCGAAAGATCGGGGGCTGGGGCATTCGAATAATCTATAACCGTATAGGATTCAAAAATCAGGGTTGCATGAATTTGTTCGGCACTCTACTCCGTGGACAAGGCACGGTGGCGGTTTTTCTTTACGAGGACGAGGACCGGGACGCCCATTTGAAATTAATCGACTTTGGCTTTGCAAAGGTCTGGGATCATATGACACCGATGAAGGCCGCGTGCGGGTCCATGGATTATGTCAGTCCTGACGTGCTTTCGGGCAGCGGCTACACTGACGCGTGCGACATGTGGAGCCTGGGCGTGATCGTCTTCATGCTCCTTGCGGGCCATCCGCCGTTCTACGGCGGCACCCGCAGGGACGTCGCCATGAAGATCGTGAGCGGCGAGCCGGACTGGGCCTCGGCCGCTGCCAAGTGGCAGTCCGTGTCCCGGGACGGCGTGGACTTCGTGCTCCGCCTCCTGACCAAGGACCCCGGTAGGCGCCCCAGCGCCCAACAGGCGCTCGGCCTGCGCTGGGTCTCCACCCCCAAGTTCTCCTTGGGCTCCGAGGCGGGCTGGGGCGCGCAAAGCGGCCGGACGGGAGCTCCGGACGCGTTGCGTAACCCCACCAGCCCATCCAGAAAGGACGCCCAGGCGAGTGGCTCTGATCAGGGATGTGGAGGAGCACGCAGCGGAAGGAGGGGCTGGGGAAGCCGTCAGACCCAAAAAGTGGGAGGATGGGGGAAGAATCGAAGGAATCGGAGGAGGAGGAGGAGGAGGAGAAGGAGGAAGAGCAGGAGGAGGGGGGGAGGAGGAGGAAAAGGAGGAGGAGGAGGAGGAGGGAGGAGGGAGGAGAGAGAGAGGAGGAGGAGGAGGAGGAGGAGAGGAGGAGGAGGAGGAGGGGAGGAGGAGCAAGAGGAGGAGGAGGAGGAGGAGGAGGAGGAGGGAGGAGGAGGGAGAGGAGGAGGAGGAGGAGGAGGAGGAGAGGAGGAGGAGGAGGAGGGAGGAGGAGGAGGAGGAGGAGGGAGGAGGAGGAGGAGGTGAGGGGGGGGGAGGAGGAGGAGGAGGAGGAGGAGGGAGGAGGAGGAGGAGGAGGAGGAGGAGGAGGAGGAGGAGGAGGAGGAGGAGGGAGGGAGGAGGAGGAGGAGGAGAGGAGGGAGGAGAGGAGGAGGAGGAGGAGGAGGAGGGGAGGAGGAGGAGAGGAGGAGAGGAGGAGGAGGAGGGAGGAGGAGGAGGAGGGAGGAGGAGGAGGAGGAGGAGGAGGAGGAGGAGGAGGAGGAGGAGGAGGAGGAGGAGGAGGAGGAGGAGGAGGAGGAGGAGGAGGAGGAGGAGGAGGAGGAGGAGGAGGAGGAGGAGGAGGAGGAGGAGGAGGAGGCAGGAGGAGGCAGAGGAGCAGGAGGAGGAAGCAGGAGGACGAAGAGGAAGGTGACCAGGATCCCGATTTTTCCAGCACGTTGCTTGCGTTGGGTCGACCCCGTCGAGGGCCGGGGGCGAAGGGCCTGGCACGCCCCACCCCAGGTGGGGTCGGAGGCGCTGCGCTCCCTGCGCCGCTACGCGCAGTCCTCGCGCCTGCGCCGCGCCGTGCTGCAGCTCCTCGCGCAGGAGCTGGACCCCCGCGCGGAGGCTCGTCGTCGACGGAATTAACCCCACCAGACGGGCTCGCGTCGTGAGGAAGACCACGACGGACGGCATTTGGCAGTTTTTTGGGGCCTCCGGGGCCCGGCGCGCCGGGCCCCAGGCCGGTAACAAACGACTCGGGCAATCTAGGCCTCCTAGATGGGGTCCGAGTAGATGGGGTCCGAGCATCGCGCCGCATCGCCGATGCGTCGCCGATGCGGCTCGATGTGAAGCCCGATTCTCTCCGCGCTGGTGTCGCCGAAGCACCGCCGACGTCGCCGATGCATCGGTGATGCATCGGCGACACGGCGCGATTCTCCGACCCCAGTCATTCCGTCCCCACCTACAAGGCCTTTGGGAAAGGGTCGGGACTTCTGGGGACTGCGTATTGGAAAAAGTTGAGGCGTCGCCTGTCTGGGCCGCTGCCGCTGCCCATCCTTCGCCTTTCGGGGGCGGCCGAGAGGGGGATGGGGATTGCGGTCGGGAGCTTCTGCTTGGCGTGTCGCGGCGCTGGTTCTGGCCTACCGCGCTTCGGCGCGATGCGCTGGGCCCAGTTCCCGAGCGTCAGATCCCCGAGCCTTTTCGGAGCCTTCCGCCCCGCGGAGCGGACCTACACGCTATCAGCTTGCAGGGCATAGCGTGTCGCCAGGGCCGCCGCCGTGACACGCTGAGCAAAAGCTCCCGACCGTACGTCGGATAGTCACGACGCCATAAGCAGAACATGTTCGCAGGTCCGAGCGGATTTCTTGAATCGGCGCTGGACCCCCTTTCCTTGGCGCGCCGAGCGCGCCAAGGGTGGCGCCAGAAGCGCCGCCAGGGGGCCCGGCGCCGATCCAAGAACCCCGCGTGGACCTCCAGAAGCTTAGTCAAGCTTTACGCAGTTGTTCCCTCGTCAGGGGCGCGTGGATCTCGTGACCGGGGCCCTGATCCCTCCCAGCTCACATGCCCCCCCCCCCCTTCCCTCCTCTTCCGCTGTGCTCCCGCGGCGCCCCACTCGGCCGCGCGCGCGCCTCGGGCCAGGATGCGCCGACCCCCCTTCCGAAGGACTCCCTCCTGTCGGCACACCACAATCCCTGCCCCAGCCAGAGTGGCTCCGAAAAGTGCGGGTCAGAGCGCACACCGAGGACACGTTCAGAGTTGCGGCTTCTCTTCCTCCCCTGCCTGCCCTGATCAGCCGGCGCAGCGTTCCGCCCATGTCCGTGTGCGGTTGCATGAGCTTGAGACCTTGCCCACGTGCCGGACGGCATTCGCCTCGAAGCCTTGGTCAGAGCGCACGCTGGAAATGAGAGCCATGGAGTCGGCGGCACCCGCCTCTTCAATCGCAGCTCGATCCTCGATGCTCGAACCTCGATCCTGGCTCCTCGATCCTCGAAGTTCGATCCCCGATCCTTGATCTTCGATCCTCGATCCTCGAAGCTCGATCCTCGAAGCTCGATCCCCGAAGCTCGACCCCCGATCCTCGATCCTCGATCCTCGGTCCTCGATCCTCGAGCCTCCCATGAGAGGCGCACGCGCGCGAGCTGCGGACCGCCTTCCTGCGGACCCCACCGGCGCGCACAAGGGGGGGCATCGGTCCTCGAAGGCTCAATCCTCGACGTTCGTGGATCGGGCTTCTAGGATGGACCCTGAGATCCTCGATGGCTCGATCCTCGAACTTCGGAGCTGTTTGAGATTTCGGAGGTTTGCGAGGCTGGGGGCGGTTTCCATCAGCTGCGCCTCGTTCAGGGCGTTCTGGGGGTGCCAGATTCGTCCCGAACGGCCGCTGGCGAGCCGAGTTATGACCCGAAGTCCATGGGAGCCCTGAGATCCTGGCGTTGCAATCTTGTCGCAACAGGCAAGTGTGCCTTGTTTCGGGCCCCGGGACCCTCACGGATCGATTCGGCTCGAACGATGCAGCAGCATGATGGGGTCCATGGCTTTGGGCGTGATTTCTCACGGTGTTGCGATTTGTTCGCAACGTCGGATCTCAGGGGAGACGTTGGGGCGTTTCTTGTCGCGCCTTTTCGGCCTCCTGGGGTGCTCTCGCCGCCACGGGCGGATTCCCTCGTCGATCTTCTCTCCCGGGTTCGTGCTTCCGACCCCCGAGCCCAGACCCCCTTCGCGTTGCATCAAGAGTGCGACGAAGGGTTTTTGATAGTTTTCGGCCTCCGTGGGCCCTTCCCGGGCCCCGGGGCCGCCAATAGAACCAACTCGTGGATGAAGAGCCGGTCCTGGGGAAGGGGATCCACATTGTAAGAATGCCACGATGTCGGGGATCTGGGATGGCACGAGAGAACCAGACATCCTCCGATCTGATTTTTTCCCATCTGCGGCCCCAACGCTCCCAACCCCTTCCCCGGGAGCAGTTTTGCGTCCTGGATCCCTGTTTGAGGGTCCCGGGGCCCGATACGAGGTCCCATAGGCCCACATAAGCGAGACCTTGACCCAGCAAGGGACCCTACCTCCTCCTCCTCCTCCTCCTCCTCCTCCTCCTCCGCCTCCTCCTCGTCCGTAGCCATTTTGGCTCAAGACCTGAACGCGACCGAGACCGCTGCCCCCGAGCGGGCGCCTTCCAGATATCGCGGCCGCGATGGCGCCCCGCCGGCGTGGGCTGCTCGTGGCGCTGGCGCTCCTGGGCCTCCTCGGGCCGCCCGCGGCCTTCGTCGCCGCTCCCGGCAGGGCCCGCGCGCCGGCACGGGCGCCGGCCGACGCCCGCTCTGGCACCGCGCCACCAGAGGGTCAGCCCCAGGCCCCGGCCTCCGCGGCGCTGCTCGTGGGCGTGGCCGCGGTGGCCGCGGCGTCCGCGCGGGCCGCGGGCTCCTCCGCCGTGGGGCGCCGCGTTCGGGGCGGGGAGGCCGCCAACGAGGAGAAGGACACGAACATCTTCGACGTCATGGCGGACACGGACAAGTACATCGAGATGGACAGGACTTCCAAGCGCCCGGTGTTCGGGTACCCCGAGTGGAAGAGGCACCGCAATTCCGACCGTTTTACACGGAACCTCGGCAACTTGTTCAACTCCCAGACCATCCGCGCGAATTGGCAGGAGGTCGCGGCATGCACACTCATCGCGCTGGCCGTGGTCCTCTGGAACGACGCCCCAGGAGAGTTGGGCTCCATCCTGCCCAAGGACCGCGTGGTCCTCAGCCTGCCAGCTCTGCCTTTCACAGTCAGCGGGACGTTCCTCTCGCTGTTGCTCGTCTTCCGGACCAATTCCGCATACGCCCGCTGGTGGGAAGCGCGTTGCATCTGGGGCGCCATCATCAACACATGCCGTGACATCGTCCGCCAGGCGATCACGCGTTTTGACCCCGCGGACTTGGAGTTGAAGGCGGAGGTGACGCGCTTGGTGTCCGCGTACCCTCGGTGCCTGATCTATCACCTGGGCGAGCGTACCGACGTGTCCAACTTAGTCATCGAGAAAAAGTTGGGTAAGATCCTGACGGAGGACGAGAAGGCGAAGCTCATGGCCTGCACACACAAGCCTATGACCGTCACGGGTATGCTCTCGCAGGCCATTCGCAAGGCGAAGTTGGACGTAATCGACGAGATGAAGATCGACGCCGACGTCACAAAGTTCTCGGACTACTACGGCATGTGCGAGAGGATATTCAAGACGCCCATGCCGCTGTCGTACACCCGCTTGACATCCAGGTTTCTCAGTGTTTGGCTGCTCTTCATGCCGTTGGCGCTCTACGGCGCAATCGGCACCCATTTTGCGATCGTGCCCATCACCGCGTTCCTGGCTTTCGCAATATTCGGCATCGAAGAGCTTGGCGTTCAGATCGAGGAGCCTTTCTCTGTGCTCCCGATGAACGTTATGGCCGGTGGCATCGACGCAAGCATCTTCGAGGCCCTAGAGTTAGACAAGGAGGACCGGAAGAAGCAGGGCGTGGTCGCATGATGCTTCGATATCTCAGGAGGGGCTATCGGTGACCATCCGCACCTTCAGCGGAAGCAGAAGAGTTTCCTGAATTCGACGCCCTGCTCGGGCACGACTCGCTTTCAGACTTTGCATAAGGGCTATGCACTGATGGGCTGTGCCCTCTGCCACCTGCACCCCATGCGAAGCCGTCTTCATCATACATATGGGCCACCCTGGAGCGCTTGAGACAGTACCACTAGCCAGACAGCACTACAACCAGGACTTAACAGTCGCGCGTCCCCGGGCGCGCCGACGATTTTCAATTTTCCGTTATCGCAGTAGGAGGAGGGCAAGCTAATTTTGCTCATGCTCGGTTGCCGATACTTGCCTGTTTCGTTGTGGGAGGGCTGGTCCATTGCCCAGTCTGCTCCTCCTCCTCGGAGGAGGAGGAGGGGGGGAGCTAGCAGCAGAGGTGAAAAGGCGTGTCGAGGAGCAGGAGGTCGACGACAGCGAGGGGGGAGAGCACGGCCATGTGCACCGTACATTCTGTCCCAGGGATCGCGGCCGTCCGGACGAAACAAGTAACCACACATTGTTCGTTTCTAATTCTTCGAAGGTTCTTTGATTTTTTGGGGGGCCAGGATCCTTTCGTTTCTACTTGTTCTGTCCTGGGCCTCGTCCTGGCCACTAGGGGGCCGGGAACAAGTAGGAACGAGCACACTTAGAATTGAGCACGATTAGAAACGAACGACGTGCAGCTAGTCAGCAGTGGGGCAAGAGCACGATTCCCGAAACACTGGTGAGGAAGTCTCAGGCGAAACGGTTGCCAGACCAGAGGGAAACCGGGCTTTCTCGGGTTCCCCGCCCCCCAAATGAGACTCGAGCAGCGAAATGCCACTGGCGAAAGACGGGATGGAGCAGATCACATCACTGGAACGTAGCTGGCCTGATACGCACGTGTTAAAACGCAGCACGTATCATGGTCAAAACGTCCATGTTGACACGCTGCGAGTTGGATCGGCACGCGTTGGCTTACGTCTTGGCGAACGTATCGCGCCAGGCCGACGTTTTCAGTCTACGTGTTGAGCCCCGTATCAATACGCTGCGTGTGGCGTGTTGCGTATTGGGGCAGCTAAGCGTCGGAGATGTGGGGAAACTTTCTTTTGGCGGGGGCCTCCTCAGAATCCCGCCAACGGAGCTCTCTCAGAAGCCTCCGAGCCCCTCGCCTTCTCGGAAGGCGGCGCCCCCGCCCCAGCCGGACGTTGACCTCTCTTCGGCGGCGAGCGAGGGGGGGAAGTGAGAAGGAGAAGGCCTTCTCAGAAGGCAGCGGGACTTCTCAGAAGCCTTCGCGCCTTCTGAGAAGTTTTTTTCTGCGTCGTCGAGGAAGGTTGAGAAAACTTCTCAGATACTCCTAGCCACGAACAGCTGGACAGCGGGGGCGGGCGAGGCAGAAGGGGGGCTTGAAGGGGCCGAGGTGTTTGGCAGGGATGTTCAAAAGAAGCACAGGCACGACAATGTCATACACGATCCACCACCAAAATAGAATACCACCGCGACCAACCGAAAAGGTGAGTTCTCAAAAACATGCAGCCTTTGGCGTGCTCGGACTTCCCTTGGGCGCACACTTCCGAGCCTTCTGAGAAGGCCTTCTCCTTTTCACTTCCCCCCTCGCTCGCCGCCGACTCTTACCTAGGACAACTTTTTCATCCTGTCCTGCGAGTCTCGGGTGCCCCCAAACGGTGTGGTGACCACACCGTGTGGTGAGTAAAGTCAGTGGGGATCCGGGGTCACTGGACGGTTTTGGGGCTCGGGTCGTTTCCGAGGACGTCTTGGGTCTTGGGCGACTGGGGCCTTCAAGGCCCCCAAACCGTGCGCTGACGGAACGCGCGGTGAGGTCGTTGTGGATTCCGAGGTTACCGCGCGGTCCGTCACCACACGGTTTTGGGGCCCCGAAGGGTCGTCGCTGGCTACGGCGTCGCCGGCTCTCGGTAGTCTGTGTGCTGCGCGGCGGCAGAAAGGGATATGGGGAACGAGAAGCAAGCAGACGACGGCGGACACGCAGGCCAGAGACCAGGGCTGCCGGAATGAAGCAGGTGGCGGGCAGGCTGGAAGGCACAGAGGGGAGACAGCAAGCAGGAGAAGGCGAGGGAGAGGAGGAGGAGGAGGAGGATAAGGAGGAAGGGGAGGAGGAGGAGGAGGAGGAGGAGGAGGAGGAGGGTTGCACGCCATGAAAGGGGATGGAGCGAGAGAGAGAGAGAGAGAGAGAGAAAAAAAAAAAAAAGAGAGAGAGAGAGAGAGAGAGTCGAAAAACCCGAGGTCGAAAAACCCGAGGGGGCCCTATCGAACCACCACGGTGCGGCTCGGACAGGCTGCACACCGTGGGCCCCCTTGGGAAAACGGATCTTCCTCGCCCAGCAGAGCATCGGAATCCCGAACTCTTAACAGCTTGCCCAGCTCACGAGCTTCTATCAGGCGACCGCAAACAGGGATCAAGGGGGCGTGGATTAGCGACGGGTCCCGCTTCCGCGGGAAATCACTGACTTCCGCCGCCGAGCGAGGCGGCACCGGCCGCATTTTGGGGAGGGCACCTCCCCCGATCCATGGATTAGGCGACCGCGCGCCAAATCCATGGATCGCAAATCCGTGTTTGCGCGCCCCGATTCTATCTCGTTGAGCCCGAAAGCCTGGAGGCTGTCCGAGAGACCAAGGTTGCCAGCACCCTCGAGAATTGGGGCTCTCGACCCTCCAGGCGGGGACCCCCGCCCAGCCTCCAGGAGCCGAGGGCCAGGCAACTCCACCGCCAGGTCCCCTGGAGTTCTCGCAGGGCCCAGCCTGCGCGGACGACCTGGGCGCATCAGCCCGGAAGAGCTGGACGACTTGTTATTTACGTAATCACTTCGCTCATATGCCGCCGGCCCTGGAGCCCTCTTTAGGGCCTCTTGGGGGCCTCTTGGGGACCTCTTGGGAGTCTCTTGGGGCTCTTTGGCGGCGTCTCGGGGGCCCCCAAGGCCTCTTGGGGGGCTTTTGAGGGCCTCTTGGGGCGGGGGGGGTAGTCGATTGCGAATTGCCTGCTCCGCTTCGGGAGCGGGCCGAGCCTTGGCACACGTCCTGGAGACCCCATGCCCCCGCTGAGACGGCAGCACGGCCTCCGCAGGTCGAGCAGCAGGGGAGCGGAGGCAGGGCCTCGTCCACCTCGGGCAGGTCAAACAAGAGCAGTGGCCCCCCGCTGTCCAAGGCTCGGTCCCCTCCTCGGCGCCCGGGAGAGGAGGCTCTCCCGCGAGGCGTCGGCTGCAGGGTCGGGATCCAGGCTGGGCTGCGATGGCAGGGTGGTCCTGGGCCGGGACAGGTGGCGTCGTGGGCGCGGGCTCCCTCCATTCGGGCTTCGTGGTCCGAGGGCAGATCCAGGAGCACCAACCCTCCCACATGATCGAGAAGACCCTACGCACCGTAGTGAACCGCGGCTCTCGTGGTGAACTTGCAGAGTTCACGAGACAAAACCAGGCAACCATTGGCGAGCAGGATCTGTTCAGGGTCGTGCTGGGCTAGACCTGCTCCTAACTTGGCGAGTCTATCCGCGTCATGGTTCCCTGTCCGCTCGACCTCAGACAGCAAGCCTTCTCTGGCATCAGGGACCTTCTTGAAGCGAGCCTCCTCTAGGGCTTCCGACTCCCAAGCAAGCTTTGGAAGATGAGCCTTGGGGCTCGAGGAGGAGAAGGCCGTGCACTTATCCTGACGACAGCCCAGCGTGCCTCTGCAGTCGGTGAGAAGGGTAAAGTCTCCTGCGCGCAGCTTCGAAACAATGAAAACTGCATAGTCCTCGCTGTCTCGTGCAAGGTGGTTGGAGGCACGGAGCCGCACCATTCTGCAAGACATCTGCGGTCCTGGTCGGAGGCGGTGGCGCCCCGTCCGGCCGCGCGGGGCGCGGGGAACCGCCCACCTAAACCCGAGCCATCGCAGAACACAGAACCGCTAGACAGCATTGGCGGCCCCGCAAGACCTCCGCACACACGAAACTCCGTGGCAGGTTCCCGAGGTTTTCTAGACAGAGGCTGGCAAGGGTCAGGCAAACTCCCACGGACACACCGTTTTTTCAAGCTCGATGCTGCAAGTGGCTACATGCCTGGCCGCTCTCTCTCTCTCTCTCTCTTCTCTTTCTCTCTCTCTCTCTCTCTCTTTCTGCACTTTTCGGAAGGTTATCCCGTCTCCACGGCGGGCGTGACGGGCAGTGAAAGTGGCGATGGAACAGGGTGCCCCGCTCGCCACAAGCAAGGCACTCGGAGGATAGAGCTGGGTCGTGCTGGTGCGATCGATACTGGCACCGATGCGATCCCATGAGTAGTCCCCGAAGCGTACGCTGCTCACGACTTCCCCGAGTCCCCCCAGTCCCAGGCTCACCGCCGTCCTCCTTGATCTTCTGATGAAGCAGTTTATTGAGAGGCCTCCAGGACAGTTGCCTCACCGAGCTTTGCCTGGGCCTGTCTGCCCAAGAGCCGCGAAGTCTGGAAACCTACGCGCCGAGAATCTCGCCATCCTGAAAACGAAACGCTGGCGAAACCTGCCGAAGGTCCCAGGTTTGCCCCGTGGACTCGGAGAGCAAAAGGGAGGCAGAACAACTAACCCCAATCCTGTGGCGGGTAAGCACAAGGGCCGAAGCATGGTTCTTGACAAGCGTCCATGGTTTCGGCCTCCGGGCCACCGCCTGTGCCTTGGAAAACAGCACTGCCATAATCCGATACGATAACCTGCCGTCCTGAAGAATCTGCACAGATCTTGATCGCTTCGGCTGAGACCTGCACTGGGGGATCCCTCAGCCAGCCCCCCCGAGCGCACAGACGCCAATCCTGGCGAGCCTTCAGCTCGGACAGCCGCGACTGAGACTCTCGAGTTTGCCACCTGGGAGGCCATGGATGCTGCCCCCCCCGAGGGTCTTGGCGGCAATCCCCGCATCTGACCCACCCACCCCGTGGGGGGGGGACCAGCCTCACGGAGGCTTTGGCCACCTCTGGCCTGGGCCTCCAACAAGCCAGGCACGATGGGTTGACGCTCCCCTCCCGGTTCCACCCGTCGCGCCCCCTCCGTCGTGTCCATCCGATCGCGGTGGACCGCCGTCCCGGCCGCTCGGGGAAGACTGCAACTTTCCGCAAGCGACTTGGCCAACGTGGGAGTGGGCGCGAGCATGCCCAGCTGATCCCGAGCGATCGGGAGGCCCCCTGGCCCGGAGTTCCGCAGAGGCCGGTTTGAGAGCCGACGGCAGCTCCTTGCAGACGGTGGCGTGACCTCCTACAACCTGAAACGAGGTGTCCTCTATCGCACTCTTGAGCGCCAACGTGCGACAGGTTGAAACCACCCTTGGAGGAGGAGGAGGAGGAGGAGGAGGAGGAGGAGGAGGAGGAGGAGGGGGAGGAGGAGGAGGAGAGGGAGGAAGAGGAGGAAGAGGAGGAGGAGGAAGGAGGAGGAGGAGGACCAGTGCAAACCCAAGACTCATCAACGATGATGTAATAAACCATTTGTCCAAGCTCCCTGGTCATAGGCCCCTACAAGGGTTCATGCCCACTGAGGGAAGTGCCCCGTTGGAAGACAGCCGGCTCAGGATCCTGACGCGCGCCAGAGCAGTATTCTCAGGACTTCAACGCCACGAATCCACCTGACTGTTGCGTCTTGACGATCCTGATTCGCGCTAGAACACCATTCATGGAATTTCAACACCGCGAATCAAGAACTGTTGCGCCCTGACAATCCTAAATCGTTTCAAAACACCAATCTTGGTACGCTAACCATGGGCATCCGCGAAACTCTTGCAAGTGTTTAAAACGAATGTGTGCGGCGGTAAAGCGAGAGCCCTCAATCCGTGAAGGTCTTGCCACATATTTAAGACGAATGTGCGCGGAGCTGAAGCAAGAGCCACATTGTGAGAACGACCCGCCCTCATTCCATGAATTTTCTGCATTTTATTCTGCGAGTGTGCGCGGCGCTAAGGCGAGAGCCACATTTTGAAAACCACCCGCCCTCCATCTGTGAAGATGCTGTCACTTTCCTAAGCTTCAGGACCATGAGTGGCAAGGAAGTCTCAGGCGAAACGCTCGGGCTGCCCTTCCGACTGGCCTCGGGGTGCGACCGAGAGAAGCTGTGGAGGCACGGGAGACGAGGGGGGAGGAGGCCCCGGAGCCCGGCACGAGGCACGAGCCCAGGGGCCGCAGATGGACAGACGTCGTGTTTTTTTTTTGTTCTGTTCCAGTCGCGGCGTGGGCCCATGGGCCCCCGGAGTTGCGCGCCGCCTCCCAGGATGGACCGGGACGGCAGCGGCCGCGTCCCCCTGGAGGAGCTGAGAGACGCCATGCGCTGGTGCCGGGCCTCGTCCGGCGAGGACCCGGGCTTCTCGCAGAAACGGAGCGTGAATTGAGCATGCAGTTGTGAAGCTCAGCGCGGATGTTTCGGATCGGCGCTACAGTCAAGACGCTGAAATAAGGAACAGTTTGGGTTCGGAAGGGGCTCGATGTTCCTTAGGTTCCTCCAGTGCTGTTCCTCTTGCCCTCCTGGGGCACGAAGGCGCTTACAGGGCCAAAACGGGGCTTCGTTCCTTCTTCGGCGTTCCTTCTTTCAGCGGCCCGACTGTAGGACCGCCCTGGCGGGGCTCCGCGCGCCAGGGGGTCCAGTGCCGATCCAAGAGGTCCGCGCAGACCTCGGAAAGTGGACGTTTATGCCGTTCTTTTTCTTTTTCTTCTTCGGTAAGGTGTCCCCAGCGCTTCGCTTCTTATGAAGCCCTTGGGGCCCTGTGGGCCTCGTGAGGGCTCTTGGCGCCAGGGAGGGGGGTCTGTCCACAGAGCCAAGAAGTCCGCGCGGATTTTCGACAGTTTATGCCTGCGGCAGGTTCGCGTCGTGTCGACCGGCGGCGACCCCGCCACTGGCGTTCAAGGATGGACGCCGCTGGCGACTCAGAATCGGTCGATGTTGATTGACGACCCCCGCGGTATCAAGAACCAATGCCGAAGTCGGCACGATGCAATCTGCCGCATGCCTTTTGCTGCGATCATGATACTCCACATCCGTGCTGATTATGTGGTTCTTCATGGGAGCCTCAGAGATAGTTCCGAACTTCCTTGCGGTTTTTGGTGAGGTTGTCCGGATGTCGTCGGATTTGATCGACATCCTGGGCGAATTCTAGTCGATTCTATGTTCTTCTCCCTAGAGGACGCGGGCTTCGGCTCCTTCGAGCTGCCCACGCCACCGCAGAGCCCTCTGGCGCCCTACGGGGCCTGGGGAGGTATCCGGCGGCTGCTGGCACCCAGCCGCAGGGAGTGCAAGCATTGCGTGACGCCGTCCACGAGCGCCAGCAGCCTGCTGGACGTGGACGAGGCCCATCGCTGGGGTGTGCCTGCATCCGATCGAGGGTCAAGGTCCCTGACATTCTCTCGGGGTGAGAGTCACGACGGCGGGTTTTTGCCTCATTTTCGGCCCCGGGGGGTCTCCGTGGACCGGGGGGCCGTCAAAAAGTGACTCGGGACGAAAAGCGGGTCCTGGGGAAGGGGTCCAGACCTTTGGGGAGCCACGTTGCCAAGTTGCGACAGCAACACGACGGAGGATGTCTGGGGCGTCCCTGCTCCCCAGTTTTTGACTCCGGTGGGGCCCGCTAGGTCTCGTGCGGGGTGCTCTGGAGGACGTGTGGGCCTCTTTGGGACTCCTGCGGACACCTTGGGCCAGGGGGGCCTCTGGCAACACCTGATTATGCGTGTCCAGATCTATGCTCCTGGAGTCGTGCCCCATGATCTCGAGTGCCTCTGCAGCAGAGGTGGATCTCTGGATCTCTGACCTCCCGCGAGGGCGGGAAGTGTGCATACCCATGCGCAGCTCCCGAGAGGTGCCCAGGCCTCCCAAACCCGTGGTGCTGCACAACAGCGTGGATCCCCTGGAGGTCTCTCGACTCCCTTCACGGGGCGAGCTTTCTGTCCCGAGCAGTTTTGTTGGCGGCCCTGGAGCCCGAGACGAGGTTCTGGACCCCGAGGGAATGGTGAGAAATCTCCTCAGGTATGTCTTGGATCGCTGGAGTTAAGTCGGGCCTGTCCCTACAGGAGGAATGCTCCAACATAGTCGAACATAGTATGAGGACGATGCTTTAACTATTGTTGCCTTTTGGGGGGGCATTCTCTGAGTATTTTTTGCTGTCGCCCAAAATCCCCCTGCAGGGGGACGCGCCCGACCTAACGCTGCAGGTCTGGGGGGGGGGCAGGGCTCCTCCAGCGGCGGTCGGGGGCGACGAAGAGGGGGGGGAGGACCAGAGGTGACGGTGTGCGGATGCCATGGCTGCAGGGCCACGAACTCTCCCCGATGTCATTGCCCCGTCTTCCTTCAGTATCGTTTAACCGACCCCCATCCCCATCCCCTTCGAGACCCCCACCAAATTACCACCCCAGTTGGGGATACACCCCTCGAAACCCGAAGAGAACGACCTATATTCCCATCTAGGGGGGTAAATCGGCCAGTGGGGCACAGGCCACGCCGCTGGGATGGGGATCGGCTAACCGATACTCATTCCTCTCTCGGTGCGCCTTCTGGTCCCCCTTCCCCTTCGTCCACGCACGGGCCTTGGGCCATGATGGGCTGGCTCCCCTGTTCCTGCACCCCATCGGATATGAATTGTCCCTGTCAGTGCAGGGTCCCCAGAAGTATCTCGTCTCTTTCCCCCGTGCCAGTTGTCCGTCCCGAGCCGTGCTTATTTGTTCGACGGCGCCCAGGGCCCGGCAAGGTCCCCTCATGGGCCAAAAGCGGACCAAAACTTTCCCTCATGAATTCTGCCACGACTGAAATAGGGTTGGGTCCCCGTGCGCCCGAAACCGTGGATATGCGGGCAGTGCCAATGGGGGTCACCACCGGGCGGCCACCACCACCTCCTGGATGCCGAGGATCACGGAGGAGGTGGGATCGAAGATCGAGGAGGTGTCGGATGTGTTATGGGTTGTTTGCGTCTTTAGGGGTTCTGAGGGGCCCACGGGGGTCCAGGGATATGCGTTTCCTGGAGGATGTGGCGACCCACTCAGTTAGGACGAGGCTGATATCATGTGCTACGTTTGGCTCAGGATACATTCCAGGAGACCCAGAGCATCTGACTGCCCTCGTTTCCAGAAATCGCGAGGAACAGACAGAATTTCGGAAATCTGGGATATTTGGGAGCGTATCCTTCTCATGACTTCTCGCTCCCCTGCTTGGTGCTGACCCCCCTTGGCACTGCCTGGGGGGCCCGTTTCCCGCAGGAGTCCCATATATCCGACGATGTGATGTTTGTCGATGTGAAGCCTCAGAAGGTCCCGACTCCTTCCCTGGGGCAAGCTTTTCGCCCCCGATTCGACTTTGATGGCCCCCAAGCCTGGCAACGGGCCCCCGAGGCCGAGCTCGAGGGACCGCCTTGGTACGTGGACCGCCTTGACGACCGCCTCTCCTCCTCCTCCTCCTCCTCTTCCTCCTCCTCCTCCTCCGTAGGCATTCTGGCTCAAGCTTCGGCTCGCGAGGAGGAGGACTCCCCCTGGGTGCCTGCCTGGCAGACGAGGGCGTCCCCCCCACATCGCGCGCTGGGACCAGCGCCCACGGCGCTGCCGCGGGAGGCGGCGGCGCACCACAGGGCGCGTTCGCGCCGCGCGGAGGAGGACCGCGCCCTCCTCCGCGCCTGGTCAGGCAGATCATCGCCCGAGTTGCAGGAGCGCCTGTGGCGCGCGGCGCGGCGGCTCCAAGAACACCACGGCTCGTCGCCAGGCAGGATGGCGCCTGGGCCGCCCGAGCTGCGCGTGCTGCGGGGCCCCAAGATGCCGTTCTGGGGTTGCTCGCGCGGCAAGGACAACAACTGGGCATCGCGCATCACGTGCTCATGCGAGAGGTCGGCACCGCGGCGCGTGGTCGATGCTGCCAATCTGGCGGATCAGGACCGTCGTGCCAAAAGGAGGAGCCCGTCCTCCTGCACGAGCAGGTGCTGCCGCCTCAGGAAAGTTGCTGCGGAAGCCTGCCCCGTGGTCCAAGGAGTACAACGGCGGGCTGGAGGAGAAGCTGCGGGCGCTCACGAAGCAGATGGCTACTGGTGGCCCAGCGGCAGGAGGCGGCGGCAGCTTCAGGAAGGAACGCGATGATGGCGACAAGAATGCGTTCCACCAGAAGACGGTGCTGCAGGAGAAGATCAACTACCATGAGAAGGCCTTCAAGGAGTGCAGCAAGGTGGAGGAGGACGGTGGGCCGCTCCATCTTCTCCACCAGAAGGCTTTGGAGGAGCTGCGTGAACAAGCGCGTGCGCTGCGGCCCCCAGAAGCTGCGCACAAGGCGACGACACAGAAGCTGGCGAAGTGCAGGCAGCAGCTCGACAGGTACGAAGCCGACCTCAAGGGCCTCCAGGAGCAACTCGCCAGCATCAGCCAGAATACCGCCGAACAGCAGGAGGCGATCACGGCCAAGAAGGCGGAAGTGGATATGTTCAAGGTCGAGGCGGTTCGGCAGGAGAGTACGCTGCTGGTGGCTCGCGGTGAGATGCCGACGGCAAAGGCGAAGTTGGCCAGCCTCACGGCGAAGGACCTCGTCGCCTTCGACATCGACGAGGACGAGCTGCTGGTGCAAGCACCTGAAGCTCAGGAGGCGCTGGCGGCTTTCAAGGCCAGTCCCCACTTCGCCAGGATCCAGCAGGCCTTATGCAAGAAGGTTGATGGGCATCTGGCTTCGGTGGTCGCTTCAGTTCCTGCACCTGATCGTGATGATTATGATGTTGCCGACGAAGGATGTGCGATCCCACCTGGCGGTCCATGCAGCGGCGGCGACGCCGACATGGAGCAGGGCCCCCTAGCCGAGCTGACAAGCGAGGCGCCACGCCGGTCCAGCTGGTTGAGTTCGCCAAGGAGGATGTCGAGGCCCTCTGGACTATCCTCAGCCAGCAAGCGCAGCCAGCTTCGGAGTGGACCAAGGAGCAGCTCCAGACCGCCATCGGGAGCCTCCAGAACACCAAGCACCGACGAACGGATGGAGGATCTGTTCGTACTGAGGGATCGGGGTGGGGACGCGAGGCTGTGCGTCCGCGGGATCTGCATGGGCCCAAGCCCCCTTTGTTGGAGGTCCCCGCCAGGCCCGCGACGACGCACATTTGTGATACATTCAATGCTAACCAGGGTAATAACAGACACTGCAGCGCAGGCTCCGCACCACGACAGCGAGGCCCTCAGCAGTTGGGCGGCAGCGCGTCGCTGGCAATGCCTCGTGGTCCCAGGGGAAGAAGCGGGGGGGGGGGGGGCGTCTTCCCTCAGCAGGGCTTGCAGTCTTCGCCAGGGAAGGGGTCGGACTTCGGGGGGGCGACTCACCCAGCTGGCGCCCTTGCGAGGCGCGCTGGCGACATCAACTCCAAGGTGGCCCACGGCTCGGAATTGGTTGCGGGCAGGGCGCAACGCGCAGTGGTGGAGTTGCCCAACTGGCCGCCCATGTACGTCTACAACCTCTACCTCCACACGGCGGAGGGGATGAGCGCCCGCAACGCGAACATCTTCATGGCGATCGGGCTGGCGATAGCAGGCCAGATTCACCCGCGCATAGTGTGTGCGTGTGTGTGTGTGTGTGTGCGTGTGTGTGTGCGTGTGTGCGTGTGTGTGTGTGTGTGTGTGTGTGTGTGTGTGTGTGTGTGTGCGTGCGTGTGCGCGGTGGTGGTGGTGGTGGGGTGTGTGGGGGGGGGGGGGGGGGGGGGGGGGGCGACTGGAACGTGGGGGTTCAGGTGGTCGGCGCGGCGTCTTCCCTGTCCGTGCTGGACTTCTTCGGGCCCCCGACGGGGGCCATGCGCACGTTGGCGCCGCGCAGCGCGGATCTCAGCTGGGTCACCAAACGTCATCGGCCAGTCCAACTGCGGCTTGTGGCAGAAGGCTCCAGGGTCAGGTATCTGACCTACGTGGGGGGACCGCGGCTCACCTCCCAAGTCATCAACGGCCCGTTCTCGGAGGAGGACAGCTGGTCGATCGAGCGGTGCTTCGCGACGGGTGCCTTGAGGATGGCCAAGGAGGATCAGGCTGCGGTGGCATGGCGATTTCTCTCCAAAGCTTGGCGTCGGTTGGCGGTTCGTGCTGCGGAGCGGATCGGACACCTCGCCAGCGCGGAAGTACGCGCTCACTCTTATGCGCGCGCCCTCCAGCCGCAGTGGGTTGATAAGGAGCACGAGAGCGTCTTGGAGACGGAGCTGCAGGCTATCGCTGGTGGATGGAAGTGGCTACAAGACAGTTTGCAAGGACTGGTGACTGCGCGCGAAGGCGGTCGCAATGCAGCTCGGCATCAAGTTTTCAAGGGGGAGGCGCAGGGCTTCCTCGGCACGGACTGCAAAGGCCAGAATCTGAGCGCGAGGCTGGATGCCTCCG